GTTCCAGAGCCCCATATGGTCCCCTGAGCACAAGAGGGGGCCCACCAAATGTTTGCTAACTGAAACGTGCTCAGCAACGTGCCTCCCATCAAATTAATCATAAAATATTATGCTGGATGTCCCCCTTGCCTTTTCTGCACCAATTGAGATGTTCGAATAGTTTTGAATTTTTATTGCATTTATGTAGTGTCTGGACATTAATGTGACTTTACCCATCTGAGATTATTCCTCCTGCTCATGGTTTATAATTCTCTTTCATGTTCTTCAGTATCTACTTGCTAGTATTTTGTTCAATTCTGTGTCCCTGTCCCTATCAATATGTATCTTATTTGTAGGTGTCATACAATTTTATGAGTATATTAATGGAAAATTTTAATTTGATCCTGCCCTTCAGACCTTTCTAATGAAATGTATGTGTGTATGTGTGTGTGTGTGTGTGTGTGTGTGTGTGTGTGTGTGTGTAGAATTCCAGAATGTCCTAGGTAGGCTCTGCTCTTCTCTCAGCTCTCCGATCTTCAGACAGGTAGACTCTGTCTGTACCTTACCAAGTTCTCAGTGCCCACCAATCACAGCTTATTCAGGCACCCTGGCTCTTAAACATAAACAGCTCAAGAGTGGTCATTTCCTTTCTCTCCCTCGGGAATTATTTTTCTCAAATGTACAACTATGTCCATTTATCTTCATTTTATTAGGTCCTAGAAACATGTGCCTGTCTGTCTGTACATGTGTGCACGCGCTTAAGGTGGTGACTTTAGTTTCCTTTATAATGACCCCAGGTTGTCTTCTTCGGGAAGTAAGGATTCCAGAGACTCCAAGCTGGTTCGTGATGCTTTTGAGGAAGGTGAAACCAGTGAGATGCTATGAAGATGCAGGCAGTGATGCAATGAGTCTGGAAGGCCTCCCCCCCGCCCCGGAAAAGTCCCTGTACACCACATCCACAGCCCCCACTCTCTGGACTGGGTTTTACCACTTCTTTCCCAGGTGATACTCAGGCCCTGTTGGAGGTTTCCCATAAGGTGACCTCAGGACCCCTGCTCCATAAGCAGTGTCAGAGCCAAGCAGCTGTAAAGAGAGTGCATGGAGCCAGTCTCCTGCCTGCTGTCCCTCCTCCAAGGCCATATTCGTACTCTCATATGGGGGAGCTCCTCTGGGAGAAGGTCAGTGTGTCCACACAGGTAAAGTTCCTCAGTGGCTCCAGCAGTGCCCACACAACAGCATCAGAAGTTTCCACAAAACACATACAGTGGTCTGATTGTCATGGGAAGACCCGAATATCAGACCTGAGCTGGGGATCTGTGCACAGCCCAACCAGGCTTCAGGATTCTCCAGCCATAATTCCAGAATGAGATCTACAAGTATCATAGACATAGTATTTGTACCAATTCTTCTGCTTTATGATTGTACAGACAATGTTTTAGTCCCTAATTGTTACAGAACCACAGCGTTGTTCAAACCATTGAACTCTAGTGAATACTAGATACTCTATACTCTATGTTCCTTTATCTATCAATATGGTAGCAGGTTTTAGTTAAAATACTCTATAATTTCGGGATGGGGCAACTGCAGCCTCATGGGATGGAGTGGTGAAACCGGCACGTCTTTCACACCTTACTGAGGCCACGAGTTGCCCCCACAAGCGACTCTTTGGCACGACCATGGCCCCAGAGGCACAAAAACCAACCTCGTAATTATCCAGCCTTTGGCAGAAATTCCTCCAGACTCAACTGGTAAAATATCAGAAATCCAAAAGCTATCATGGCTGCGTGACATCATATGGTCTTCGTAACCAGCAATAGAAAAGAAATTATTTCACAATGCCCTTTTAGCAGTTCTGATTGTTGGGGAGAAATTCCAAGTAATAATGGTGTATCTTTTGTCTAAATGATGAATGTAATCAAAGTAGAGAGAGAGTTAAGTAGAAATCATCTGCCTCACAGGCATTGGGAGGGGTGGGAAGGGTGGTATATTTGGGTTCTTTGTGGTGAAAAGTGTGCACTGGTGAAGGATGGGTGTTTGAACATTGTATGATGAGACTTAGACCTGAAAGCTTTGTAACTTTTCTCATGGTGAATCAATAAATAAATTTAAAAGAAAAAAAGAAAGCCCAAGCCTAGCAGGTGGCCAGACCCGATCAACAAAGCTCCCTACCCAATATGCAGCCATAGCCATATAGGAAAAGCCTGTCAGTTCTTGGAAAAACTGTAATGTTTATGTAACCAAAACATATATAACCACCTGAGTGTTAAGTTGGGGTCCTTGTCAAGACTTCACTGCGTTGGATGAGACTTGGACCTAGCTCAAGCTAGCAATAAAGTTTCCTTTTCTTTTGCATTAAAAAACCTCTATAATTTGGTTAGTTATATTACTTGTAATAATATACTGAACTGGGATATTTTTAAATGTTTTTCAGTACTCCTGTTTCCTACAGTAGTTATACCATTATATGTAAGCTTATGCCCTATGTAAGAGATGTTGTTCATCTCTTCATGTGTTTTCCATTCATGTATGTATTCATTTTAGAAATTCCTTTCTAGGGCCCCCTTTGTAAGGGTCACACAGAGATGCTCTTGCGTTATTCCCAGCTCTGCATCTTCTTGATCATTCTTGGTAAGACTCAGTGTACCATGTGAGTTATTGGGGATCAAGCTGGGGGAATCCATGTGCAAGCAAAACCCCTACCCACTGTACTCTCTCTCCAGCGTCCTGAATTACTTTTTATACTTGGCTTATTTGTTGTTGTTATTGAGTTTGGGCCCAGAACAATGGTATAGGGGTTGACGTATTTGCCTTTAAAAAATTTATTAGTGAAACACCATGAGGTACAGTTGTAGACTTACAAATTTTTGTGCTTGGGTTTCAGTTATACAATGATCGAGTACTCATCCCTCCACCAGTGCCCATTCTCCACCACCACTAATTCCAGTATCCCTCCCACCCCTCAACCCCCCATCCCACCCTGCCTCTGTGGCAGGGCACTCCCTTTTGTTCTTTCTCTCCTTTTGGGTGCTGTGGTTTGCAAAAGAGGAATTGAGTTGGAATCATGTTTGGTCTATAGACTACTTTCAGCATGCATCTCCCATCCTAGGAGGATCCTCCCAACACCCTTTATTTGGTGCTCCCTTCTCTATCTGAGCTGCCTTTCCCCCTAGAGTGTGCATGTACTTGCCTTGCTTGTGGTCCACACTGGTTCTGTTCACAACACTACATTATGTTCTCCCATGCACTGCTAGGAGATCCCTGAGCAGAGAGTCAAGAGTAAACCCTCAGCACTATCAAACATGACCCCAAACTGCAGCAAACATAAAAATCTTTCAACTTTCTCTTCTAGCCTGTGCTCTGCCTTGACTATGTATCTAGCTTGCTGGTCCCTATGTTTTTTTACTGGCTTACTACAAGTCTGGAGAAGCCTGTGTACTTTCTTTTTTTATTTCCAAACTGTATCCTGCTTTTTTATAAACAATCAGGGTATTTCAGGCAGGACATGGGCAGATAATCTTTAACAGTTTACAATAACTTTCAAACTCCCTTTTTCAATGGATTACCAAAGTCAGAAAGCCACCATAAACCCAATGACCTCTTTATTTGATGCTCTGAACAGCAAAAGTTTTGAGTGAGGGTTGACACTTCACATTTAGTATGCTGTTTAACAACTTTTCACAAGCTGACCCTGACTTTCAAAAAATGAAAGAAAAATGACAGGATGATAGAATGATCAATCTGAAGATTCACAGCCTTAAAAAAAGGAACTGTTCTTTTGAGGGCTGCCATCTCAAGTGGGGCACTGCAAAGTCCAGATGGCCTGACATCCTGGTAACTACTTTTTGGGAGTCCAGGCTCAACAGGTGTCTCTGGAGTTAAGGGAGTCAAGTCTATGTGAAGATGGAGAGCGAGACAGGACATAGAAACACATTTTAGTTTTTCCCTACCACAAGGTTGAGTGCCAGGGTGGTTACTGTGTCAAGTCAAGGAATCCTCCCTCTTGGAAATCAAGAGAAAAAGTCTCTCAAAACTAGCGGGGGGGGGGGGGGGGGGGGGGGGGGGGGAGGAAGTTGTTTTTCCCCATGGAGATCCAGTTTTGGAGACCATTTATTAGTGACTTATGCCCTTCCCCCAAAGCAACAATGAAGAGTTCTGTGTGTTAACAACATAAATTTAAAAAAAAAAGTAAGACAAAGTATCATGTTAAGCAAAATGACCTCAGAAAGAAAGGGATAGACATAGAAAGATTGCATTCATCTGGGGAACATAAAGTAACAAAATAGGAGACTAACACCCAAGAATGTCTGAGATTAGTACCAGGAATTTTACTTCATGGCTTGGAGGCCAACCACACATGCTAGGGGAAAAGGGAGCTCAGATAAAGAAGGGAACACCAAATAAAGGTGTTGGGAGGGTCCTCCCAGGATAGGAAAAGCATGCGGAAAGTAGACTATAGACTAAACATGATTGTCACCCATTGCCTCTTTTGCAAACCACAACACCCAATAAGAGAAAGAGAACAAAAGGGAATGCCCTGCCACAGAGACAGGGTGGGATGGGGGGGGAGGGGGGTGGGAGGGATACTGGGATCTGTGGTGGTGGGAAATGGGCACTGGTGGAGGGATGGGTATTTGATCACTGTATAATTGAAGTAAAGTAAGTAAAGTAAAGGCCCTCCCGTTGATCGTCGATTTGCTCGAGCGGGCCCAGTAATGTCTCCATTGGAGACTTTGTTGTTACTGTATCTGGCATATCGAATACTCTCGGTAGCTTGCCGGGCTCTCCGAGAGGGGCGGAGGAATCGAACTCGGGTCGGCCATGTTGGCTGCGTGCAAGGCAGACGCCCTACCTGCTGTGAAACCCAAGCACAAAAATGTGTAAGTCTACAACTGTACCTCATGATGTCTCACTAATAAAAATTTAAAAAAATAAATAAAATTTTAAAAAAGTAGGACAAAATTCTGCATTTTAATAAAACTTGATAAAAATAGCATTTCAAACTGTACAGTCACCAGAAGTACACAGTTATCAAAAAGGCACACACTGCACTTGGCATGTCTAGCACCTTCAGCTTTCTGTGCCTGGTCTGTTTTGGCATCCCCATTTTCTGCAGGGTTCTTTCCATCCTTGCCAGCATCAGCCTTCCCCTTTTCCCCTCTGCGAACCTCCTTTCCCTTCTTTGCAGGGGCCTTTTTAGGCTTGGGCTCTGGCTTTGGGGAAGAAGGTTTCGTTGATAACCTTGCAGATCTTCTCTGTGCTTCATCCTTCACCTTGGCTTTATCTCCTTTAGCATCCCCTTCAGCCTTTCTCTTGGGCATGGTGGCGACAGCGGTGAGACGTGGGCGCTGGACACGGGGTGCAGCGGTGCCTGGGCTTTGGTTGATCCAGGAGTCGTTCTTGCCTCTTCTTCTTCACACTGTTCTGCCTGTGTACTTTCACGAATATATTTCCCCTCTTTCTCTCTTCTCACATCTTTCAAAGTATATTTCATTCAATAAAAAACTATCTTGTTGTTAAAATTTATCATTGAGTTTAGGAATGCTTTATAAAGGCCCAGAGAGATAGTGTAGGGTAGGGTGTTTGCCTTGCACGTGGCTGATCTAGATTCAATCACTGGCACCCAATATGGTGCCTAGAGCTCCACCAGGAAAGATCCCTTAGCGCAGAGCCAGGAGTAAGCCCTGACCACTTCTTCTGTGGCCCAAAGACCAAAAAAGAAAAGAAAAGAATGTTTTATATGGGCAGGAAAGATATTATAGTGGTAAGAGATTTGCCTTGCATGCAGTCAATCTGGGCTCAATCCCAGCATCACACTGTTGAGAAGAATCCTTTATCTATCCTTCTTCGTAGTATATAACTCATTTATCCTGATATTATATCTCTCTTTCTATAAAAATTTTAGTTTTTTCTCTTTTCTTTTTTTTGTTTTTTTTTTTTAATTTATTTTTTATTTTTAGTGAAACACCATGAGGTACAGTTGTAGATTTACAATTTTTTGTGCTTGGGTTTCGATTATACAATGATCAAATACCCATCCCTCCACCAGTGCCCATTTTCCACCACCATGGATAATATCCCTCCCACCCTGCCTCTGTGGCAGGGAGTTCCCTTTCATTCTCTCTCTCCTTTTGGGTGTTGTGGTCTGCAAAAGAGGCATTGAGTGGCAAACATGTTCAGTCCATAGTCTACTTTCAACATGCATCTCCCCTCCTGGGAGGATCCTCCAAACACCCTTTATTTGGTGCTCCCTTCTCTAACTGAGCTGCCCTTTCCCCTAGAATGCCTGGCTGGCCTCTAAGATATGGAGTAATCCTCCTGGTGTTGATCTCAGCTATTCTTGGGTATTAATCTCATATTTTGTTTCTTTATATTCCCCAGATGAATGCAATCTTTCTATGTCTATCCCTCTCTTTCTAACTCATTTCGCTTAGCATGATACTTTCCATGTTGTACCACTTGTATATAAATTTCATGACTTCATCTTTTTCTCTTTTCTTTAAGGTATAAGTTTTAGTTCTAAATTTGAGATAACATATTCCTAGATGTAATTATCCATCACCATGAAATTTCTTTTACTATTTATGTTATATGCTATAGCTTTTAGATGTTTTATGCTGGTTGGTGAACAGGTGTGTGGTTTTCTGAAAGAATTCGCTAAGAACATTAAAGGTATAAGAAAAATTTAAAGGAGGAGGCAGGTGGGGTGGGGGGATGGAGTGTGGGAAAGATACTGGGACCCGTGGTGGTGGAAAATGGGCACTGGTGGAGGGATGGGTGTTTGATCATTGTATAATTGAAACCCAGCACAAAAATTTGTTAATCTACAACTGTACTTCATGGTGTTTCACTAATAAAAATAAAAAAAATTTCTGAAACCAATGGGAAAAAAGGAAAAATTTAGAAGAAAAAGGGGATTCTTGACAAGAAGAGGCAAGCAGACATTTACTCAATTACTCATTAAAAAAGATTTTTATTTAATCACCGAGAGCTATAGTTACAAAATTTTCTTATCTTAAAAAATTTTTTATTAGTGAATCACCGTGAGATACAGTTACAGACTTACAAAACTTCGTGCTTGCATTTCAGTCAATGATCAAGTACCCATCTCTCCACCAGTGCCCATTTTCCACAACCAATGGTCCCAGTATCCCTCCCACCACCCCCACCCCATCCCCTCCACCCCACCCCACCTCTGTGGCAGGGCATTTCCTTTTGCTCTCTCTCTCCTTTTGGGTGTTGTGGCTTGCAATAGAGGTTTAAGTGGCCATCATAAACCTTTCATATTTGAGTTTCAGTCATACAATTATTGAACACCATCCCTCCACCAGTGTACATTTTCCACCACTAATATCCCCAGTAACCCTCCCTACACCAACACATCCCTCTGCCTATATGACAGACAATTTCGCTCTTATTCTCTCTCTCTACTTATGGGTATTATGGTTTGCAATATCAATAATGAGAGGCCATCATGTTTGGTTCATAGGCTACTTTAAGCACACATCTCTCATCTTGATTGATCCCTCCAACCATCATCAACTTAATTACCCCTTCTGTATCCCAGCTGCCTTCTCTCCCAACTCATAAGGCAGGTTTCCAAATGTGGAGCAGTCTTCCTGGCCCTTGTCACTGTTGTCATTGGGTTTTAGTCTCAAATTATGATATTTTATGTTCCACAAATGAGTGATCATTCTATGTCTGTCCCTCTCTTTCTGACGCATTTCACTTAATATGATACTCTTCAGGACCATTCACTTACAAACAAATTCCATGACTTTATCTTTCCTAAAAGCTGCACAGTATTCCATTGTGTAGATATACCAAAGTTTCTTTAACCAGTCATCTGTATTCGGCCACTCAGGTTGTATCCAGATTCTGGCTATTGTGAACAGTGTTGCAATGAACATATAGATGCAGATGTCATTTCTACTGTGCTTTTTTTTTTTTGCACCCTCGGGATATATTCCCAGAAGTTACGGTATTGCTGGGTCAAATGGGAGCTCAACTTCTAGTTTTTTGAGAAATATCCATATTGTTTTCCGAAAAGGCTGGACCAGTTGGCATTCCCCTAACAATGAAGGAGAGTCCCTTTCTCCCTACATCCACGCCAAAACCGGTTGCTTTTGTTCTTTATGATGTGTGCCAGTCTCTGGAGTAAGAGGATATCTCACTGACCCAGAGAAAAGTATTTGACAAGATCCAGCACACGTTTATGATGAAAACTCTCACCAAAATGGGAACTGAAGGAACTTTCCTCAGTATAGTTAAAACCATCCACCACAAGCCCACAGAAAGCATTATTCTCAATGGGGAAAATCTAAAAGCCTTCTCTCTAAGATCAGGGACAAGACAAAGATGTGCAATCTTGCCTCTTCTACTTTCCAGTAGACAAGAAAAAAGTAATAAGGACATCCAGATAGGAAAGGAAGAAATCAAGTTCTCCCTATTTGTAGATGACATGATACTATACTTAGAGCACCCTATAGCCTCTACCAAGAAGCTTCTAGACACAGTATACTTGTATTGAAAAGCCTCAAGCTATAAAATTAATACCCAAAGTCCAAGACTTTCCTATATCCAAATAATGAGAGAAGAAAGTAACATGTAAAAAGCAATACCATTAACAATCATGCCTCAGAAAATCAAGTACCTAGGCGTCAGTTTAAATAAGGAGGTAAAGTATCTATACAAAGAAAACTCAAAACACTACTTCAAGAAATAAAACAGGACACAAGGAAATGGAAACATATCCCCTGCTTATAGATTGGGGGAATTATCATAGTCAAAATGGCAATAACCCCCAAGCATTCTACAGATTCAGTCCAATTCATATAAGGATACCCATGACATTCTTCAAAGAAATTGATCAAACACTGCTGAAATTCATACAGAAAAATAAGCCCCCACTAATAGCTAAAGCAATTCTTGGTGAAAAACAGATGGACGGCATCACTCTCCCCAACCTCAACTAGCACTATAAAGCGGTAATAATTAAAGCATGGTATTGGAACAAAGACAGGTCCACAGACCAATAGAATAGGGGTGAATATCCTTACACACACCCTCAAATATATGATCATCTAATCTTTGATAAGGGAGCAAGAATTATAAAGTGGAGCAAGGAAAGCCTCTTTAACAAATGGTGTCAAAAGTGGACAATTGCATGCAAAAGAAATGGGCTCAGACCTCTACCTAACACCATGCACAAAAGACATCTCAAAATGTTTTAAGGAGCTCAACATCAGACCAGAATTCATAAGTTACATTGAATAAAAGGTCAGCAAAACTCTTCATGATATTGAAGCTAAAGGTATCTTAAAAAGATGAAATGCCACTGACCAAGCAAGTGGAAGCAGAGATAAACAAATGGCACTAAAACTAAGAAACTTCTGCACCTCAAAAGAAACAGTGACCAGGTTATAAGACAGCCTATAGAATGGGAAATGATATTCAACCAATACCTTTCTGATAAGGGGTTAATATCAAGGATATGCAAGGCACTGGTTGAACTCTACAAGAAGAAAACATCCAACTCCATCCAAAAATGGGGCGATGAAATGAACAGAAACTTTTTCAAAGAAGAAATTTGAATGGCCAAAAGGCACATGAAAAAATGACCTTCTTCACTAATCATCAGGGAGATGCAGAAAAAGACATCTACTCTTGATGAAAATGCTCCTGATTTGTGTTTTGTCCAGGCTTTGGCTCTTGTGTCTAGGTCCCTGCCTCTGAGCTCAGAGATCACTCCTGGTGATGATTGAAGACCGTATCGAATACCAGGGACAGAACCTGAATTGGCTGCGGCAAAGCAAGGGCCCTGCATTCTGTGCTCTCTCTCTGGCCCTGAATTTCACTTCTTAATCTCAGTCCCTGTCCTGTATTAGCTTACTGACTGGATTCCTTCTGATGTCACAGTTATGAACCAGCATCTAGGGGCCATCAGTTGTATTCCTTGAGGGCAGGAAGAGTCTTTTTTTTTTCTGTTCTCACTGTCCATTTTCCGAGTGCTGGTTGTCTGTGTTCACTCTGTAACTGTGTCTACTGTGTCTGGAACTTGTGTTGGACACAGGAATCTGTCCATCAGTGTTCATGTGTTCATGCATGTCTCATTTTCCTGCATTCTTGCTTTGGGATGGTTTTCAAATGTCTTGAGCACATTTTTGTGGTCATCTTTTTTTTAAATTTCATTCTCCTGTTCCTCTTACTATTCAATACTCATTTTACTTTTTGATTCATCTGTCTCAGGGTTTATGTGAGAGGCCAGAGGAGAGCCCTTCGGCTGGAACATGCTTTCCATGGAGGAAGCCTATACTGATCC